GATATGCAAATTAATCGCCAACAAAGATGGCGGCTACTTTTCATACTGCAGGCAGGGCCGGACACTGGGAGCTGCCATCCAAGCCCTGTGTGTGACCCCAGGAGCTGCCGGAAAGCCAGGCCACAGGCAAGGCAGCCCCCCAGGACCCAGGAGCCGCCTTGCCTGCCGCCCGTGATCATGATCGTGATCGGAAAGCCGGGCCACAGGCAAGGTGGCCCCCTGGGACCCAGGAGCCGGGTCGGCGAGGTCTGCAGGCAAAGCAGCGATCAAGCTATGAGGGGGAGGGTGGGGGGCGGAAGGAGCTACAGGAGCAGCTCTGGCCGGAGACTGAAGACTCCAGCTGGAGCGAGGAGCAAAGACTGAAGGCTCCAGCCGCAGCGAAGACTGTGTCCAGAGCGAAGATGGAAGGCGGTGGCCAGAGTGAAGTTCTGGGTCCCGGGTGCCAGAGGAAAACTGGTGCTGGCAGCCAGGGGAAAGGCCTATTGCACGAATCTTTGTGCAACGGGCCTCTAGTTTGTAATAACCAATAAATATATATTACAGGGCACAGTGCAGTTTTGAATTCATTTTTAAAACAAGTGGAACTTTCCATGGGATTGTGGAGGGCAGTGGGTTGCCATTCAGATCCCCTCTCGGGACCAGACACTCCCATGGCCCCTCCCACCCCTCAGCCTCCCTCTGGCCAGGAGTTTTGGCTGCTGGTGAGGCAAGGCTGCCTCCCTCTGTGGGAACACCCTCAGCTAAGGGAGCCATCTCCCCGACAGCCCACACCCATCATGGAGCTCATGCGGGGGCACAAAGTCCTGTAACCTGCAGGGCCAGAGTCCCCCCCAGAGGATCTGCTGAGGCCTCCTTGCAACTACACCCCTGCTCAATTTTCCCTTCCCCCCCTCCCTGCACATGTAAATCCTGCACATGCATGTCAGCAACTGCTCCAGGGCACAGGACCTGTGACAGTCCCACAGTCCACAGTCCTAGCAGCAGCCTTCTCCATTCACTCATCTTCTCCCTCCCACTTGGGGGGGGGTGTTTGAGAAGATGGGGGCTCAGCTTGCTCTGGGCCAGACCTTCCATGGCTGAGGGGTTCCTGGGAAGTGCTCTGGGCTGGGAGTTCGGAGACCCGGACTTCCAGGTCTCCCCCAGCTCCTAGTTCTGCAGACTCCAGCTGCCTTAGCTGTCCATCAGCAACATAAAGAGCCCAAGCCAGAGCAGAGGCCACGTGGGTGTGACCCACAAGGCAGACCTTACCCCCGGCACGCGTGCTTCCTCTGTGAGGAGTGTGAGAGAAAGTGGACTGCCTGCTAATTTTGAAGTTGGGTGTTTCACATGAAAACCTCAGTTTGCAGCTTCTCTAGAGCAGGTGGGATATTCCCCACGTGTCCTGCCTTTCTGCTCAGCTGCGCTGGGCATGGGGAGGCCCCTTAGACCCCATCCTGGGTGCTTGACATCATCTTCCTTCCTCTGAAAGAAGTTAGTCTTTTCACATGTTCCCCAGTTTTAGTCTAAGGTGTACATAGCGACTTACATGCACTGTGAAATGACTACTGCAATTAGTTTAATAAACAGCCATCATAAATACAAAAAAAGGAAGGATTGGTGTTTTCTTTGTGATGAGAACTTTTAGGATCTGCCCACTTAAGAGCTTTCAAGTGCACCACGCACACAGTTAGCTACGGCGCCAAGCTACGCATCACCCCGTGGCTGCTTCCTCTTACAGCCAGAAGTCTGTCCCTTTGGAAAACCTGCACCCATCCCCTACCCTCCACTCATGCCTCTGATGGCCAGATAACCACAAATGTCATCTCTTTTTCTTAAGCTCTGTTTCCAGATTCTACATATCAGTGAGATCATCAGTATTTGTCTTTCTCTGTCTGACTTATTTCACTTAGCACAATTCCCTCTAGCTCCATCCATGTTGCAAATGGCAGGCTCTCCTCCTTCCTTATGGCTGAATAATATTCTATTATTTTGCTTATGCCCATTTTGTTTATCCATTCATCCACCAATGAACCCTTAGGGTGTTTCCATGTCTTGGCTCTTGTAAAGAATGCTGCAGTGAACATGGGGGCACAGACATCTTTTCGACATGATGGTTTCATTTCCTGTGGGTATATGCCCAGAAGTGGGATTGATAGTTCTATTCTTAATTTCTTGAGGAACCTCCATACGGTTTTCCATGGTGGCTGCACCAATTTGCAATTCCACCAACAGAGCTCAAGACAGTTCCTTTTCTCCACATCCTCGCCAACACTTGTTATTTCCTATCTTTTTGATGACAGCCATCCTAACAGGTGTGGGATGATCTCTCCTGGTTCTGATTTGCATTTCCCTGATGATTAATGATGTTGAGACCTTTCCATGTCTGGCCACCTGGGCGAGATGGTATCTAAGGCCCTTTATAGCTCAAAAAACCTATGATGTTGGTGCCCAGATTTCAGTTCCTTTGTTCCTGTTGTGTTTGCCAAGTGCTTTTCATACGTCCAATCTTCAGAAAGAGGGGTCAGAGGAAGACTGCCCTTCCCTAGGATCCTGAACACGGTATCGCCAACAGCTCTTCTCTCACTCCCAGCAGCTCACATGCCTCTAACTAGCTCGGCTTCCAGAATCAGCTGCGAGGCAAGCCAGTGTTTCCACATCTGGTCACCGCAGAATCACCATGGAGCTCGCAGAGGAAGCTGATCCACAGGCACCACCCGGCCCCAAGATTCAGACCAGTTGGTGAGGGGTGAGGTGGGAGCCTGCATTTTAACAAGCACCGGGGCGTTCTGACAGATGAGGTCCTCACACCACACTTCAGCAAACGCCGGGCTGCATTCTATTCCAGTGGCCCCAGTAGCCAAGAGACATGTGTCAGAGGGAGACACGTGGGCACACTCCACAGAGCTCCAAAACCCTGACTCACTTTCCTCCAGAAATGAATCTCCTGGAGCAAAAGGAGCCAGCCTCTTGTCCCTCCAGCCTCATTTAACACCAGGGGTCCCAGTAGTCAGCTCAAATGTATCGGTCTTGTTAGCGCTTGGCCAAAATCTGGGTGGTATGGACTGAATGTGTGTATTCCCTCCCCCATATTCACATGTTGAAGCCGAATTCCCCAATGTAATGGTATTAAGTGGTGGGACTTTTAGGTGATTAGGTCACAAGCGTGGAGCCCCTATGAATGGGGTTAGTGCCCTCTTAAGAAGGCTCCACCGAACTTCCTGGCTCCTTCTGCCATGTGAGGACGCAGCGAGAAGACGGCTGTCTATGAACCAAAGAGAGGGCTCTTACTAGACACCGAATCTTCTAGCACTGTGATCTTGGACTTCCCAGGCTCCAGAACTGTGAGGAGTAAATTTCTAATGTTGATAAGCCATCTAGTCTATAGCATTCTGTCATAGCAGCCCAAATAGACTAAGACACTGGTCAGATGCTGAACATGGAAAGAAACACGGATAATTTTCATGCCTTGGGTAAGTGAGATGCATTAATGCAACAGTCAAAATCCAGAGCAGGAGCAGAGGCCTAAAGCAAACCCCCCATCCAGGAGGAAGGTACTCACGGATGTGTGATGCGCCCGAAGTTGGCGAAGGGACCCTGGATGCGCTGCCTCAGCTCCTGGGCCCAGCGAAGACCCCCGGCCACCGAGGGCATGTTCTTGTGCACCGGGGAGAAGCCTGGAGACACAGCACAGCCAGACTGAGTGAGGCCTGACTCCCAGCCCCTCTGCCCAGGAACACCCTGCCAGCCAGTCCACATGCTGAAGTCACCCTGTGCTCACGGGAGATGGGGGTTCCTGGAGACCACTGTGCTCGCCTAAGGAGTAAGAGTGGCCTTGGGGAGAGCATGGGACAGGGTCAGAAGACAGGGGTCACGCCCAGCTCTGCCACTCACTGGCTTTCTAACTTCACATCAGTGACGTTCAACCTGGCTACACATCTGCATCATGTGGGGGTCTTTAAAAAGACTGACGCCTGGTTCTGCATTCAATTGGTTTGGGTGGGGCCCTGTCATTTGTATTTTGTGAAAGCTCTCCAGAGGATTCTAACTGTACAGTCAGGGTTGAGGAACTCTGCCTTAACAGACAATTGAATCTCTCTGGGCCTCAGTTTTTCCCTCTGTAATATGGCTTATGTGCGAATTCAATAAGGTTGTGACTGAGCCAGGCCATGCGGATGACAAAGTGCTTGACCAGGGTTAGCAGAGCCTGACACCCTTACTTTACTCCATAGTAGAGTGTGTCAGTTTGCTTATCTGAGTTGTTGAGATTTCAGTCATGAGATTTTGTTTTTAAAAAAATTAGTGTCCAGCTTTCTTAGTAAAATGGGGAGATCTGGCAAATACCAGCCTCCACATCTACCCAGCAGCTGGGGCTGAGCGGTGGTGTCTTCCTTTCATCGTCATGCGCTCCACCACCTTCCCCCGTCTCATGCGAGCGCAGACCTATGGTCCACAGCATTCTAGACACCACCAAGTGGCCCTCACCCTGACAGAGTCCTCTCCTCGTTCAGTGTGGGTGGGAACTGCAAATAGGATAAAATATCACTCCTGTGAAGAGATGTTACATGGCAACAAGGAGCGGATCCTGGGTGGGCTGACTTACTCAGGCGAGCCACACACAGAAGCAGAGCATTTTCTCTGGTTGGTGGCAGAGGGGGATAAGGGAGCTGAAGGGTGAGGAGGAGTCAGTGTGCTGGATGATGGAGGCAACCTCTAGCCTTCCCACATGGCAGGGAACGGGCGTGCCCCCAGTGACAGCCGATAAGGAAATAGAGACCTCAGGCAGACAGTCACCAGTACTGGATCCTACCAACAAAAATGAGCTCAGAAGCGGATTTCCCCGCCCCCGAGCCTCCAGATGAGAAGTCAGCCCAGCCGACGCCTCGATTTCAGCCTCGTGATACTCTGAGTGGGAAACCGAGGCAATCAGGCCGGGCTGCTGGCCTACAGAACTCTGAGCTAAAAGATGGGCGCTGGCCGGCCTCTGAGGCTGCGCTAATTCGTTACGCAGCAAGAGAAAACGAGTGTGGCCTCCTAAGGCATTTGAGTTTTCAAATTCTATATGTGACCGGATGTCATGAGGATGGCCCACATGAAGGTGAGGCCAGCAGGTCTTCCGGGAATGACTTCCTAAGTGGACACAATTCTAAATGACCTCAGTATGAAACCTGTTTATAGACATGCTGGTCTTGCCACTCCATTACTTAAAACCCGTGGACAATTTCCTATTGGCTGAACACTGGGTTCCAGATTCCTTAGGGTGCCACTCAGAGGCCTTCACAGTCTGGCCCCGGACTCTGTGGCTGGCCTCATCTCCCTGTGCACACTCTGTTTGCTCACAGGGAGGTCCACCTGGTACCTAGCAATACTCTCCTCTCATTTCTCTGGAGACCTTTGCTTCTCCTCCTCGCTTCCCCTCTCTCACCTTTCATGGCTCAAAGCCCTCTTCTCCACAAACTCCCCCCGGATATCCCAGCCACCGTGTATCTTGTTTTGTTATAGTTCTTTATAACTCCAGTCAGGGACTACTTATATTCTGCTAGGTAACTGTTCCTACCTGGTGTGTCCCTTGAAGAACCAGGCCATGGCCATGTGGACTACGAAGTGTTTGACCAGAGTTAGCAAAGATTGGACATTCTTACTTTACTTACTTTTGGTATTAATTAGTGTACCCCTTACCCTGGCTTCCCTCTGCATCTCGTGCCCAAACATGTGTCTGGCATATAGCAAAGACTCGAGATATGTTTGTGAAGTTGAACTGAACTTGTGTTTGACTTTCAAACAGGTAAGACAGGGCATCTAAGAATTGCAATAAAAACGGAGACATCACACTGTGGTTGGTACCGCCCATGTCGGGCTCCTGCTGGTTCCTTCCTCCAGGAGTATGGTTGCTATGGCATTGGAAGGATTAGGAAAGGAAAATAAAAGTCTACCGTGGAATTGAGACATGTTGAAGATTAATCACTGTGGCAACATTGACCAGGGGTCAACCCAGCTATTCGGCTAAGGTCTCAGCTGCCCACAGGCTGTCAAGACTTCACTGCTCTGAGCCACCCTTCCAACCTCAGCCCTGGATACAGGGAAATGCACAGCTCAGTGAACTCTACAATCAGCCAAATGCTCTGGATTATCTACAAGCTGTCCTTGCTTTTATTGGAGAATGACAGAGATCCATAGTAGACATTCAACAAATACAAGAGGATTGAGTTTCACCCCTCCCAGCAGTAGAGCTCCCCCATCCAAATCCCCTGGCAACCAGCCTACCAAGTTCTGCCTCCTCCTGGACACGCTGACTGTAGATTGTCCTCACTGTATCCAATTCTTTGTTAAACATCTGGAGAAGCACCAGGTACTTATCAGATGCATCTCGTGCTACCAGTGGTCTTTCGAGGAGGTTGCCTGCTATGTCTAGCAGCTGCAGGAGAGATGGAGAAAGAAGAGGAGCAAGTCACAGATTCAATATTTCCAAGGTTACATAAATCTTCTTTCCTGGCCTTTCTTTCATATGCCTAGCAATGTAAGAAGGTCAAACAATTGTTATTATGCTACTGGATCAATAGTTATTAGTAGGTGGATATTCATAGTCTGCCTTCTAAAGGAGAAGGATTCCTGTCTGCTAAATTATCTATTGGACCCTCGTGGGATGTAAGAATCTGGATAAAGGGTAAAATAAAGAGAAAACTTAAAGTTGTCAGAAAGGTTAAGCTGATCTATATTAAAAAGACCATTAAAAAAAAAAGACCTAGCCCTGGCCAGTATGCTCAATGGTTGGAGCATCAGCCCCCCTGCACACCAAAGGGTTGCAGGTTTGATTCCCGGATCTGTTGGGGAGCATGCAGGAGGCAACCAACTGATGTGTGTCTCTCTCACATCGATGTTTTTTTCTCTCTCTCTCCCTCTCCCTTCCACTCTCTCTAAAAAATCAATGGAAAAAATGGGTGAGGATTAACAAATAATAATAATAATTTTTTTAAAGACCTAAAACAGAGGAGGGTGAAGATAGAGAAGGAAAATAAGAAGCTAAGTAGGCTACGTGTTGAAGAGAATTTGGAAGGCTAAAATTTGAGAGGAGCAAGAAAAAATTTTCAGAGAGAACTAATTTCTGGAATCAGTTCAAAAGCTTGAAGAGAGAAATCCTAGTCGTTTTCCTACGTGAGTTATGGAATGCCAGGTATTTATTAGAGGTTATAACCTCTAAAATAAGATTTATATAATAGATAGATATCTATATGTAAATAGATAGATATAGATAGGTAGATTCAATGGCTAATGAGGCCTGGCAATTTGGGTTACCCAATATTCTAGAATAGCATGGGTTCTAGTCTATGCTTGGACATTTTCAGTGACTGGAAACTTAACTACTTCTTAGGAAGTCCATTCCATCTTTAAATAGTTTTGACAGAAATCTCTTTCCTTTATTGAGCCAAAATCAGCCTCCTTGTCATTTCCACTGATGAATTCTGGTTCTAATCCTTAAGGCTTTACAGATATGGCCTCTTCATAGTTTACAGATCTGTCATGTCTTTATGTCTCACAACTCAGAATTCTCAGTTGCGCAGCCATTTAGCTACTCGTCATCCTAAAGCTTCTCCGTATTCTTGTACCAGCTAATCTTGGCGATACAGGGCAAGGGCACACGTCTTCTTATTCTAGTTACTGTACTTGAATGCCGTAACCAATTACGGTAAGTGGTTTGCCTCGGCTCAAACCGCCCTGACAGCAGTGGTTAGAGAGCCATGGTATTGCAGAACCCTGGGTTCAGGATGGTGACCACAGCTGAGTTCTTCACTTTCGATGGGTCCCCTACTGATCAGACCCAAGGGGAGAAACTCTTTTGAAAAGTATTTTTACATCATCATGCTTTCAGAAAAGCATTAGTGACCAACCTGAGAAGCCCAATTCTGCGCACTTCCTTGCCTAGCGCACTCATGATCCCTCTCTATTAGACGAAGAACAATTCATATCTGCAGGAGCAAACAGCTGGAAGAGTATCCCGACCCTCCGCTGATGAGGGTGGGGGAGGATCGAGCATAGGGTGGCTCCCTCTCTGCTTTTACGAACCTTAAAGGCGTGCTCCAAATCAGGTGCGTCATCAAAGGCTTGAATAAAGATAGTCCCCAGTCTTCGGTCAAGATCTTCTACTCTCTGGTTAAATTTAGAGACATCATTCTCAAATTCCTGAAGACACATCACAAAGACATAGAAAATCATGATATTTCAAAAGCCAGTCCCACTATGCTCTCTACTACTAATCTTTGCACTTGAATCATGAGACCAAGAATTTATTTTCATTTCCTAAAATTCACCTTGGCATGACTTAGTTTTCATCCATGTAGACACACAGTTACCCCATGTCTGCTGCATTTTTATTCCCTAGGCCAGTGGTCGGCACACTGCGGCTCGTGAGCCACATGCGGCTCTTTGGCCCCTTGAGTGTGGCTCTTCCTAAGCCTTAGGAGTACCCTAATTAAGTTAATAACAATGTACTTACCTATATAGTTTAAGTTTAAAAAATTTGGCTCTCAAAAGAAATTTCAATCGTTGTACTGTTGATATTTGGCTCTTTTGACTAATGAGTTTGCCAACCACTGCCCTAGGCAAACTGGTAGAGTGAGTCAAATTGTGAGGTTGGCACCCTTTCACTCTATCTCTGTGCCTCCTCTTCCACCATCAGAAGCCCCTTCTCTATCACCCACAGTGCCAGCTCATGCCACCCCAAAAGCCACCTCAACAGCAACAACCCCAGTAATGGGGCTACCATCATACCTCCTACTTTCCTTCCTCTCCCAAGTCTAAATCCTGTTTAATCAGTGTAACCAAACTAATCTAGCCATTAGGAGGGAAGTAAGCTAGTTAAACTAATGCACACTATTTCTTCTAAGTACATTTTAATTCATTAAGACAACAACTAGCCATTATTTCTAAGGTTGCCAAATTTAGTAAATAAAAATATAGGCTATGCATTTAAATTTAAACTTTGGATAAACACTGAATTAATTTTTAGTATAGGTCCCAATTATTATATTTTATCTGGCAACCCAAAGAATATGCAATTTTCAGAGAAATTTTGTTAACTGAAATCCCTAATTGGTGGAATTATTATTTGTTATTATTGCTTTGCAATAGTAATTCATATTCTTATAAAAAGATAAAGTGAGTAGAAAAACATAGTATAGTTCTACTTCCCAAACCAACAATAGTAACATAATGGTATGTTTCCCTGTGCATAGAATTCTGTTTTATCATTTGTTTTGTTTATTTGTTTTGTCTTAGAAAATATATGGTTGTCTTCATAAGATCTTATAGGGACAATTCATAAAAAAGTTAAAATAATAATAGTAATGATTGCTTTGTAGTAAGCCATTTCCCCTCACTTTTCCTTAGAAAGTAACATCTCTCTGGGTTTGTTAAGATTTCCCTAGGCCAGTGGTCGGCAAACTGCGGCTCGGCAAACTGCGGCTCACGAGCCACATGCGGCTCTTTGGCCCCTTGAGTGTGGCTCTTCCACAAAATACTGGCTCTTCCACAAAATACTGACTTCTGCGCATGGGCCACGAAGTTTCAATCGCACTATAAGTGCGCACTCGCACGTGGCATTTTGTGGAAGAGCCACACTCAAGGGACCAAAGAGCTGCATGTGGCTCGCTAGCCGCGGTTTGCCGACCACGGCAGGCAACTGAAGGTACTCAGAGTAGATTTCTGCTCTAATTTCTTCCTCCTTTTCACTCATTCACTCTAAAAATCCCTTCTCCAGCAACCAGCCATCCCCTTCTCAGGAAACTCCATTCCCTATTTCTGCCTGGCCCCCTTTCTTCTTTTTGTTCCTTGTGGGCTTGCACTCACAGATCTCAGCTCTCCTGGGCCAGGGGTAGGGCGTGGGCTCTGTGGTCCAATCATGAAAATGCACGTCTGGCCGTCCCCTCATCCCTGAGTACTCCCTTGCAAACCAGAGTCCGATCAGAAAAATGAAGCTCTGCCCCCACTCCCAACCCTACCCAAGACACTAACAGAATTCTGCCCAATGTGCCTGGTCTGCTCGCTGCTCAAAGCCATCCCATATCCATCTCAGCATCTCTGAAACCCATCAGTCTGGAGCAGTCAGCAGTTGGAAAAGGTCCTCCCGAGCCTTCTCCTGACACAAAGAATAATGAGGAGAAAGTCTCCCTTCATACAACCCCTGGGTCTATAAAGCCAAGGGAAACAGAGAAAATGCAAGTAAAATACCAGGCCCTACAGGCTGGAGGCAGCTAAGAAAGAGACAAAAGTTGCAAGTTGGTCTTCCAAGCCCTACCATGCCTTGGGGGTCCAGGCAGTCGTGGCAGGACTCTGAGAAGACCCTGCACATCTCCTGAAATTCGTGGTCCATTTGCTGGACCTGCTGACTCAGGGCGTTGCCTCTGATGCCACTGAACTCGAGCTTCTGCAGGTTGTGAAAGTCCAAGGTCGTCTTCAGAAGGTCCTACAGGGACGATTCACAAGAGGTAAATAATAATGATGATGATGACAACAGTAGGTAATGCTCACATTAGGACGGGAAGAGCAAGATCATACGGGGGTGGTGGGTTGCTTAGGAAAATGTGAAGCCTGATTCGTGTTGTAACCGTATTATTAAATTGGGTTCATATAAATAACTTGGTTAAACTTGATAACGAAGCAGAGAGAAAGTACAGATAAATAAAACTCACACACACACACAAAAAAGGTCAATTTTATGCTTTAGCTTTTCTGTGTTTTCTAATAAATAATAAAATATAAGAATAATATTTACATGATTGTTGTAATTTTTAAAAAATCAATTTAAAAAAATCAATTTCAAATGGGCCATGTCATCTGGTTCTGGAATGAAGCTATCTTAGGGGCTATTGACTGGAAAGCAAGTCCCCCAAATAGTCCGAGGACAAGCCCAGAGGAGACACCAACAGGCTCAGCAATGACTGCCAAGGAAATCAATGGTGATGCCCTTGCCCAGCATATGCAACACGGTGCACCATGTAGCGCTGGGCAACAGGGACAACTGCTTGACACCTCTGTGTTGGGTTTCCTCAACTGTAACAGACAACACTAGTGGGAGGTAAATCAGCCAATGCAGGCTTAGGATGATGCCAGTACACACACAGTAAGACTGTGTCACTGTCACTGTTGTTCACATGGCAGTGTCCCAGCTGTGCTCAGAATTGAGTGACAGGTGGACAACACAACCCAGAGCCTTGGGGAGGAGCCCCCCTGGGTCCATGGAAGCCTCTGCTAGGACAGGAGCCTCCAGAACACAACCAACATGACAGACGGTGGTACTGACCTCATGAACACTGGCCTGAAATCACAAAACCTTCAAACCAAGATGTTTTCCCATCACCACCTCCTGCCTGTGTGCGTATCTGTCCAACAGGCAAGGGGGAGATAACAAGTACCTTTGTGTGATTTTGGCAAACATTTGGTGTGGATCCCTGGGAGGGGATCTTCTACCCTGAGGAAGCTTGAGAGACAAGAAGAGGGAGCACTACGTCATGATGCTGAAAACCTGGCAGGTCCTGGTTCCACTCTAGGAAATTCCCACGGCCAATGGCCACTGCTCCGGGTTGACCCATCAGACTGGAAGAAGGCGGCCCAGCTCCTTTCTCTTGCCGGAGCACCAAGTCCAGCAGCAGTAACAGGCATTGGGTAGTGGTGAGCAGTCTGACTTTTTCCACGTTGCCAGCATCTAGCAACCTTTTCTTGCTCACCTGTGCTCAGGCACAGCTGTCAGCAAGCAGCCGAAGTGGGAGAGGAGAGAAGAGGCAAGAACCAACCACGGAAAGAAAGGCCTGCCTCTGAAGCAGGGGTCTTGCCAGCAAAGGTGGGGCAGGGGGGGCAGCCTTCATTTTAAAACACCTTCAACTTCATGCACTGGGAGGAAAACAGAAATGAATGGGACTTAAATGAAATGGACTTGAATGTTAATTACATGTCAGTGCTATAGGAGAAGCATATTTGTGCTGTGGAATGTCACCTGGGTACCCATTTTTCACAATTCTATGTATGTCAATTCCAATATTTAGGAAATATCCTCTAACCATTTTAAAAGACTGATGCATCGTGATATGTTTGCTTGCATCAGAAAACTAGATTATAATTTTGTTACACTATTTTATTTCTCCAGAATACTTGAAGTATGATCTTGGATGGTCATAAGGTATTTCATGACAGACATTAGATAAATATTTATTTAATCATTCTGTTTTCTAGAAAAACTCTGATCACCAAAAACAATGGACATTTACATTGCTTAATTTAACAAACACGTGATAGGCAACACATTTATTTGGAATTCAGTTCAAAGTCTCAGACCTATTCTTACTTCCCTATTAAGAGCCCAAAGAAAAAAAGAGAACCCCCAATTTTCACTCTACCATTCCCCCCAGTCTCTCTCCCCTTACCCTTCGTAAGCTTTCTTCAGAGTTTTTGACACCCTTTGGAATTATAATATGCTACTTGGAATTATATTATTATTTTTTTATTTTGTGCATCTTTCTCAGTGGGTTGTAAATGCCCACAGGTACCTGTTATCTTCAGATGTTGAGAAATATTTGTTAAATGAATGAATATATGACTTTTGACCTTTGACTTACCTACAGCCCCTCCAGGAAAAGGAGAATCTAAGAAATATGAACTCAGAAGCAATTGTGAAAATTAGACAAGAAAGGAGAGTTACAAAGCAAGGCTGACCGGTGTCTTTAAATGCTCGCAGGGCCTTGATCAAGTGCGATGCAGAACCTGATGGTCCTGCTCCAGGGGCAGATCGAAGGCAAATGAGCACACAGAGCAGATTTGTCCTCAACTAGCAAGTTGAACTTCGAAAATGTCTTATATTTTCCCTACAGAAAATGGCAATTTCATGTGGTTTCACTCAATAAAACAAAACCATCTAATGCTTAGAAAAGACCAACTATAGAATGGGCTGCTGAGAGAGGGATTGAGCTTTCCATCTTGGTGGATTTTAGACATTTGGTGTCAGAGGATTAGAGGAGGTTCCTGATCTGGCAGGAATTGTCTTGCAGTCATAGAAACATATTTATCACACTGACTGTGACTATATCTTTGATTCATAAAATATTTCAATGTAGCTCTTTTCACCATTTATTTAAAGGTCCCACCAGACAGATAAAAGGCAAGTTAAACAAATAAGAGGTTTAAATGATAATTTTTAACTACCCATTCTTTCATCGCAGTAGTAAACACATGAAGTTCGTTATGTCATATTCAGGCTGAAAGGGTCAAATTCAGGGGGAGAATATGCAGCACCAGGGGAAAGCCCAGGACAGCGTCCAAAATGCTGGGGTCACATAGCCCTGGCCTGTCATTTAGTAGCCATGTAGCTACTAAAGCAAGACACAACTTTTCTAAGCCTCACTCCCTAAACTACATATGCGTTCCCCAATACCTAACTGGCCGTGGGGTTATGGAGTCACGTGGACCGTGTCGTAGCTCAGGTTGCTGGATAAGAGATGTGTAATGGCTAGTGCACAGGTGCTCTCTCCAGGTAGCACACAGGGCCTGGACCAGGCTGCTGGCTGGGCCGACTGGGTCCTATTCTCGGGAAACCTGTGCACTTTAATGGAAGGTGGGAGAGGCCTGCAGTGGCTCTGGCCCTGAGGGGGAGAGCCACGCTCAGGATAATGGCAGGCCTCACAGACACAAGCACGTCCTTGAAGGAAAGGTCACCCCACCTATCTTAAAAGAAATGTCTTCAGAATTCATTAAGGAAGAGCACAAAGCAGACATTCACAGATGAAAGTCTCAAAAGGTCATTGGGGAAAAGGCTGTTTTCTCTACCTGATGACAGCGGCCGCCCTTATGCAGCGAGCGGTCTCCTAGTGACCGCATGCTCCGGAGGGCTGAAAGGGAAGCCTGCCCAATTAGGCCTGCGAGGAGGCAGAGGGACCGGGTGCAGGAGGAGCAGGGAGGCGTGTATTAGGGCCGCTTACCACCTCTCTCCCTGCTAATCACCTGGCATGAAGCCCCAGCAGGAAGTCACTCTGCCTCCAGTAAATCGCAGCTTTGCAGACATGGCAGAATGAGAGAGATGAGGGCTCTTTCCAGCTCTTACTTCCCGCACTGTGTGGAGGGCAGAGGCTGCAGGCAGAAGCACAGGGCTCTGCAGCACCGACAGTCTTACGGCACAAACATGGGCTCAGTCTGGGGAGGTGCATGAGGGTGTGGATATGGTGTGTTTGAGGGCTATGTGTGTGCTGTGTGTATTGTGTGTGCGCATGTTGCATATGTATGTGCAGTGTATGTAAGTTGTATGATGTCAATGCATATTATATGTGTGGTATTTGTGCGGAATGTGACCATGCAGTGTCTGTACTGTGTGTGTGCCTGTGCTATGTGTCTACTGTGTGTGTACATGTGCTGTGTGTGCAGGGTATGTATGTGCAGTGCGTGTGTTGCATGTGCAGTGTGTGTACTGTACATGTACACAGTGTGCATGCATTTGGTGTGTGTTGTGTGAACTGGGGCAGCCAGCGGGAAGACAGGGTGAGGGCAGGAGTTAAGAGGCAGCTGAAAGACTCTCTTCCCCTTGATTTTTGGCTGCTTGTTCAAATTAGAAAGATTTTATGTACTTTTGGGGTTTCCTTAGTAAATTGTAAAGTCCAATATGCCCCTTCTTTGAAATGTGAATTACAGTTTTACCCAAATGACTTATTTAGAAAAATGGCCTAACAATCATGTGGTAAACACAGAGTGTGCAAAGACAGAAGAGAGTGGATATGGCAGAATAAAGCCACAGAACCACTGTGGACCCTCAAAATGGGGGGAGGGAGGGAAGCAGAGTTCTAAGACCTCCTGGGAGATATCCACATTGGATAAAAGGGCGATACTTGGAACCTCTCTGAGCGTGTGGCGATGGGCAGTGCCTCACTGTGCTCCTGGGTTACAGGAGGGGTCCTGATGCCTTGCTCCTATGATTGTGAGGGTGCAGGCTCTGGCATGATATAGGCTCTCGAAACATTTCTACTCTTCCTTTCCCTGCTCAGGGCTTAGCTCTCTCAGAGGTCAGCTCGGTCGTGGTGGTGAGGAGGAGGATGGTGGTATCCCGAGAATGCAATTATACTCCACATGCTGCAGGCTGCTGACAACTGCTCAGCAATACACGCCCCCCACCACCACCACACACACACACACACCAGCTCAGCCCACCTTCATTTTAACAGGCACCCAGAGGGGAAGAGTCGATCTACACAATGAAACTTTCTTGTGCAAAAGAAAGCAACACAAATCAGAGGGGGAAACGTGAGAGAACGATGGAGATTAATACCAGCCCTTCACAGCATAACTCTGGATGTGAGCACGCAGATGTCATTTTATTAACTTGGCTTAGTGCATTTATTAATTGCAGCTACCCACGTCTCAGTGGCCAATACTGTATTAGAACAGCAAGATGAATACGGCTCGGTTCATGCTAATTCTTGCTGGAGAGCAGCAGATTAATCCCGTTTCAAACAGGCATCGATCACAGAGGTACACAGAATGTTAACTAAAGGGCTACATGAAATCTGCTTGGAGATGATCGATAGTCTGTGTCCCGCTGCACTGAGCTGAGTAGGAGGAGGTGGGGGAGCCAGAGGCCAAGGGGCTGGGGCTCAGCAAATGACTCAAAGATGAAAAAGAAAGAGGGGAGGAAATACTACGACAGGGGGGAGGAGCAGCCACAGGAAATCCTGGAAATTCAGGGTGAACAAGGAGCTAAAGGAAACACAAAAAGAGAGGGCTTGGAAAACAGAGAAGGGAGACAAGTAGAAAGGGGAGGGAGGGGGAAAAGAAAGGAGAAAAGGAAAGCCGTAAAGAAAAGAAATAGTAGGCTTGGCCGTAAGGGCAAAGAAGTAAACCAGAGCAAAGGACGGAAGCGCTGGGACTGGAGGGAGCAGGAAGACTGAGCATGGAGACATTCGGGTCGTCCTCTGATTACAGGGGGCAACTGCCGTTCACCCACCTGCATCTGCGCCCTTGGTCCAGAAAGGACAAGCAGCCGAGAGCCGGCCATGTGAGGGCAGTGGCTCCCGGAGACTGTGGCCCTGGCTGGTGCATTTACTGGACAGACCCGCAGACTCAGGCCCTAATGTCGGAACAGTCGTCTGTGTGCAGAGGCGCGGCACTGGCATGCGTGCATCTGCCTGAGGCCCCAGCCCCGTCATTCCCAGCTGTGCTCAGCTTCACCCCTAGGGCTGCTGCAGGGCCGGAGGTCTGCCAGGCGGTGAGGCAGTAACTCCACCTGGTCAGCCAGGCCTGGGGCAGGTTGGAGCTGGAGGTCTGTCACCTCAGCTAAACAACAGCAAAGGGACAGATATGGACGGTGAGAGGAACACCGTGGGGGAGGGGAGGGGAGCTGCGCATCAAAAGCTGTGATGGGAATGTTGCAGAAAAAGGAGGCATTTAGGATAAAGCCGGATATCGGTGACTTACACTCTCCATGGTCCCGATGAAGGATTTCAGGTGGGCCTTTCGTAAGATCTAGCTTCTGGCTTTCTCGCTTAGACATTTTCTCTGTCTCTATGCTCTTCCTTGTCTCCCCCCCCCCCCACACCCACCCCCCCACCCCGTAAATTCCTAGTCCAGTTTCAAACTTTATTTCCTTTTCTTCTTACTACTTCCTCAGGCCCTGCTGCATTAGGGGTTCCTCTTTCTTGCTTCCTTGGATATCCTCCATGAATCTACCTTCTCCTGTGCTACGGCTACTGATCTGAGGGCTTCTTACGGGCGAAACTGTATTTCAGTCATAATCGCATCCTTAGGGCCTGGCTCAATGCCTAGAGAACGGCAGTGTTGAATCAATGTTTTGGAAGTGAAATGAACAGATTCAATTTCATACTCTTATCCTCATAATCCCACAGTGTGTGCCACTCATCACAGCCTCTTCCCAACATATCCCCCCTCATCATCCCAAATCCCTGATAATCATAGCTGGAAACAGGACTTTAATTCTTTCTCAGTCTCTTTCTCTTTTTTGGCTGTTGTTCCTAATCTTGAACTTGACCTTGGATTTCTTAAATTTTAGAATAAGCATGTATTTCATTTTATTATGTCCACTGTCTTTTCCTCAAAGTTCAATGAGCAAATATAGAGCTGTAAAGTGTTAAAAGCCCTGTTAGCCATATTAAATTCTGGGGATAAAAACTATCAAAAGAAAAAGCTTCATGTCTCCTCACCCTGGGCCTTAAACTAATATTCACATTAACTTTTAAAGAATTGGGGAAAGACACAGCTTTGGGCAAAAGTCACATTTCTTTTACACTGGGATTCACTAGTCATGCAGTTTCTGGAGCCACCTTGGGGGTGGAAGAGTGAAGGGCAAGTTCAAAGTAGTAGCTTTGTGGGAGTGGCCAGCTGCATCCAGTTCAGCTCACCTGCATTTTGCACATCGAACTTTTTAGCAAGAGTTTATTTGAAACACAGTTTAAAGATTATGGGCAATTTGAAAATCAAATGAATTAGCTGACTGATTCCCTGGGCCTTCTTCCTAAATGAGTCTATGATTAGAGTTGCCTACACTCCTAATAGAACCACTGCTACCTGGTGATCGATCCAAATGATCAATCCAAATATGTACTGAATCTTATTGTGGGTTCCTCCAACTAGAGGAAAGCTGGCCACCGTGCTGTGTTGGTCATTTTCCTATGCACTTTCTGGATCCCCGCATGGAGCCGGGAGCCGGAGGTGGGTGGGCACACTCACCTGCACCATGAGCAGGCGCCTCAGGAAGCCGTCCAATCGCACAAACACCAAAGAAGACTGGAAATCCCACGCCCTGACTTCCTGGCTCTCCTTGAAGTAAGTGTGGAGAGCCTCCCTTCTGTCCTGAAACACCTGCTTGAAGAAGTTCAAGGTGTCCACGACCACTTGCAGTTTTCGCTGACTTTCTTCCACCTCACTTTTCAGGAGGTCTTCTGGGCTGAGATAATCGGAGGCCTGGAACACAAGCATTCGTGTCACGAAGCCTGGTTGTAAGTGCGGGACATCCCACAACTCTGCCAACTCCAATTCTGAACTGAACAATAGCCCAAGTATTTTTTAGAAGCACACTATAGGAAACATGTGACTCCACCCTCAGTCCCACAGGTGGATTGGGACCTGGGTTCAAGCCAAAGAGTCAGCGATTGGCTTAGGTATGGGCAAGTGGCCAATCAGAGACAAGGGAACACCATGAGTCTTTCGTGGGGCCAGCTGGGGCTGGGCAGGTATTATTCCCTGTTCTTTTGTGACTTTCTGACTTTCTATGGTGAGATAATTTGAGTGCAAGAATTCTCTGAACCATCATTATTTCCCTGTCTCTAATAGACTTGAACCTGGAAGGCTGTGAGGCTGAAGCTGCTGGACAGCCATCTTCACCACCACAGGGGCCGGAAGGCGGGGGCAGAAATAACTGGGTCCTGATGACACCACTATGACCTTGTGGTTAGCCAGGGCTGAAGCCAGACTTATCTTGGACTTTCAAGGTACATGAGCCAATAAATTACCTTTTTGGTGGGCTTTCCTCACACTTTCAACCAAAAGAGTCCTGGCTGACAAACATGGAGTGACAGAAAAGTGCTGGTCTAGGGTGATCTTAGGCAATTTAGTTAATCTCAGGGCAGGGAACCTTGGCCTTAGCCCACATCTTTAAATAATAATAATAATAATAATAATAATAATAATTATTATTTAATGAGGCTCTCCCTGCCTACCTCACAGAGTTCATCTGAAAATGACCAGGATCATAAAGGTCACAGCAATTTGGAACTTGCAATGTGCCTCATAGATGTTAGTTATTATTAGCTCCTCTTTAAACCCATTCATTGTTTCCTCAGGGCCACAGCTCCTTAGAGGGAAATGAAGCCAATTTTGGGGGAAGATCACCCACACCTACTTAAGGCTTCCCGTTCTAATCCCTGACACACTCCTCAGGGCTTATGCTGGCCTGGTTGATGCTACATTGGTCCCTAGAAGGGTGAAGCACATAGTTTGTGATCTTAAAAGCTGCTTCTCTGTGGCTCACAGACACCGAGTTCTTAGCATGTGCAGGGCATGCTGTAAGCCATGCATGTTCACATCAGAGCCTCATAGTCATCCGCTACCCTTTGAGATGGTCCTCTTGTTACCACTGCACAAAGAGAAAAGCGAGACACAGAGCAGACGATCAACTTGGCCAGGTACACACCGCTAACAAGTGGTGACACAGGATTTGGCACGGAGATGTCTGGTACCAGATATGGCATTCCTAACTGTTGGGCTTCACTGCTGACTTAATATCAGTCTGGCCCAAGCCTGGTGTGGCTCAGTGGATAGAGCATTGGCCTGGGGACTGAAGGATCCCCAGTTTGATTCTGGTCAAGGGCACATGTCTGGGTTGCGGGTTCTATCCCCAGTAGGGGGGCGTGCAGGAAGCAACCAATCAATGATTCTCTCTCATCATTGATGTTTCTATCTTTCTCGCCCTCTCCTTTCCTCTCTGAAAGCAATAAAAATATAGTTTAAAAAATAAAGTGAAATAAATACCAGTCTGTGTGCACAGATTATTAGGAGGCTGAAGTTCACCACCCCTGCCCTTCAGCAGACCCAGGGCTTTGGGCAGAGGGAAAGGAAGACCGGGTTGCAGCACTACTGAAAATGTCGGTGTTTTTGGCTTGTGATTAGTAAAATAACTCGAGTGGGAGAACCCTGTGGATCATAATTGTTTCCCTGCCCTGAAAAATGCCCATTTACTCTTCTCTGTGACTCTGTGCCACCCAGCCGCCAGGGAGAGTCCGTGGGGACCCTGGGGGGACCAACCTGCTGGATGAGAAGGTTGCAGATCTCCTGGAGCAGCACAGTGAGCCGCCCCGGGGAGCAGTAGGACTTGCATGTGGCCCAAATCAGACAGACCACATGGAGTAGAGGCCGCAGCTGTGGCTTCACCTCTGGGAACTCCAAGGCCTCGAGGGCTTCCAGGTGGCGGTGGAGCGGCATCAGGTGCGTGTGGATGTCCTTCGCCTCCATCAGAGCTGGAAGGAACGAGAGAGTCACCCTCCCTGCCTGGAGCTCAGAGCCACCAAGTTGGAGCCCTGGTGCCTGGGAAGAGAAGGATCTGATCTTCCTACACCAGGAGAGCCGAGAGAAGGCTGATGAGAACTCCCTATTAGTCTACACTGAGTGGCCAGATTATTATGACCACCCCATCAGTATAATGAAGTGAATTAGTTATGCAAATAATAATAATAAAACCTTGAGAGTATTTGCTTAGGAAGTTTTCAATATTCAGTATTTTTGGAAATGCCAATGAAGTACTGATGGGGTGGTCATAATAATCTGGCCACTCAGTGTATATTGCTCTTGTTCTTTCCCCTCCATGATACTGTTGCTTCCCGTTTTCCAAGGTTCTCCATTGTCCAATCAATTCCACTTCAGACAATCTTGTTCCCACACATTTTCCTACATTCCTTTGCCCTCCTTCTTTATTTGCCACTCTTTTCCAATTCATACCCACCAGTTCAGAAATATTTCCTCTCCTCTCCTCTCTTCAGTCCATCAGTGAGCCAATGCAAACCCTTGATCTGACTAATAGGAATAATACACATCAAATGCCTCTAAAATATTTTTATTTTTCAGAGATCCCACCAAAATTTCTGACCAAGTCTCCACCTAACTCCTCTAACCAAAAGTTCTTTCCTGCCATCATCTGAATTGAGTTATATATTTCAAGGATTTTTATTTTTATGGCAGTGTTTACTATAACTGCATTTTTTCTAATTTCCTTTCTTTGTCATTACATACTCTACTGCAAATAACTTTTTGAAGCTGACATGGGGAACCAAATCTTTTATAACAAAGACTAATGTGAACGATCATAGTCTATGAATCTATTAATGTGAAAAATATATTTGGAGCTCAAAATAACCAACTCATAAATATAACTTTACTGCACGTTGTTTGATTTCAGAGCCCAAATTACAGTCATTTGCATAGCTCCCTTATGATATTTGTCATGTCTGCGTATGACCTGTAGTATTTACTCAAATGTTTTCTGAGTTGACTCCCATTTTAACCTAAATAAAATCATATAAAATGAAAACTTCAAATCACTAACATATATGGAAAACTGCTCTCACCAAGAACAGTTACCCTTAACACATTTTACATATGCCTGTCCATATACGTCCCAAAATAATTGCTCATACCAATAGTGGTACACAAGCCCCTTTGGGGGACACCTGTATCATTTGTCTTGAACTTAAATTGGGAACAACAATTGATTCCTCTGGGACACAAATCTCTCAGTGAAGCAATCAGCTGACACGGTACCTGTTCCTAGGCAGCTCTATGTGCTGCAGGGCAGACTCCGGGGTAATATTTTAGGGCGCAGAGGGACCTCAAAGACTAGCTACTTTTGCCAGTTCTTCTCTGCTACCGGGCACATGTCAGAAACTCCATCACTGGAACTTCCCTTTCTGGGGCTGAGCGGTTTCCAAACCCCACATCATGAGGAGAAGAAAGTGGGATGAGGGTTCCACCCTACATTACAGACACAGGACATGACCCTCTTTAACGGAGCAAATACACCTTAATTAGTTCTACATTTTGGACTTACAAAGAAAATTGTCTTTAAAGAAAGAGTGCTGGTAGAGAAAAAGATGCTTGAAAGTCACTGCTTGGATTCAGCATAAATCACGTGAAACTGCGAATACCTTTCAAAGCACATTCTGACCTACAAGACTGAAGAGGTAGGAGGAGGTCTGGGAAGAGAAAGGAAAGAAGCAAAGTGCCCAGAAAAAATTTACCTGCTTCTAATTATAGACTTTGCTGGCTCTGCAATTTTGACAAGGGCCAATCTTGCCTGGTGCTCAGACGGCCAGGAAATTGCAGTCCCTCTGACAGTAGGAATGGAAAAAGCAGAATGGAGCCAGCAGTGGAACAAAGACTTCTCAGGGGGCCAGGCCGAAGGGGCCTGAACCCCAGAGGTGAGAGATAACAACATGCATTGTACAGTGTGGCTCAGTCAGCAAAACCCTTCCATCTCTGCTCCCTCACGGCAGCCCGAGACAGTGGGCGGGAAGTGTGTGCACGATATCACGGCACGCACTAAAGCCCAGGGGGGTTAGGTGTCGTCCCCCAGGTCACAGAGTGGTGGAAATGCAAACAGCACAGGTCGCTGCTGTCCTGCTTCTAGATTTGGCATTGTCACGCTAGGTTGTGTCAGGTTGAGGGTCGTAAGGACTTGAAGCTGCTGAAATCAGAGAGAGAAGGTAGTTCGGCACAAAATAAAACATTCAAGGTAAACGCTTTTAGGAAAATACTTGCTGCGCCTCACCTGCTGCGACATCTCTGCACATGGCTTGGAAGGCTGGGAAGTAGCTGCTCTGAAGCTTGTCCAGGAGCCCCGCCATGCCCCTCACCTTTATCGTTCTTAGTTGATCATAAATGTATTCCAGGTCCTCAGACCTGCAACGCCACGGAGGAGGGGAGTCCAGGTGAGCAAAGGGAAACTCAGTCCCACTGTGACGACCCAACCCCAGACAGACAGAGAGCAGCGCTGCTCAGGGCGCTCCCCCAGAGGCTGGCTCCTGCCCAAGCAGCCAGGGCATCTGTTCCCAGGACAGCGAGGGCAAAAGCCTGAGCGGGGAACATGGTTCAAAGGGGCAGCTCCGAGAGGCAACAGCAGGGGAACCTGCTGTGAACATCTGGTGGCTCCAGAGCTTGGCAGCTGGAGGTCATCAGCTCTTGCAGCAAGGTTTGGGGGGAAGGAGGGAGAGGTGTGTCAGAGTGAGGCTGCTGGAGAAGGGCCTGAGGCAGGTCAGCAGAATGGTCAGAAACCATTTCTCCCAACAGAAACCAGGCGAGAGCATGGGACATCTCAGCATGGTGGCACCAACAGGGCACCATACCTGGTCATGTGATATGGACACTCCCCACTCAATAGGACAGGGACATCTGCTTCAAACATCTGTCTCCTTTTGAGTAAAAGATTAATCAGCACAATGATGAATAGGAACAAGGAAATGGAAAGGTAGAGCGGGAATCAGCAGGAGCAATAATTAGGTCTTTCGGGGACTCTGGAGCTGGCACGCAGTGGACGATGGGCTTTCTAGGCCTGCTAACGATTGGCTGGGACCTGCGAGAGGCTATTCTGCAGCCAACTGTCAAAACCCCTCTTTTTCTTCAGATTCTTACAAAAAGTGTGTGTGTATAGCTTGACTACCCAAGGAGAAAGGACTACACAAGTAAAAATATACATAAAAGGGAGTTAATTTTACATGTGGTTGAAAAAAACCTTTGAAGAAATGTCAGAAGGTATACTGACTGCAGCTCACAAAAGAAGGGGCAACTATTGAACCCTAAGGAAAGGGTACATCTCCCAGAGCACAGAAAACCTGTATGACCCAAACGACACCAAGCTGTCTGCTCTAGGGGAGATGAGAAACAATGGAGGTGGGACCAGACTCCACGGCTGGCTCCCCCAGGCCATCATCCTCTGTAAGACGTCTACCTGCTCGCCAAGGTTTGAGCATGTGCCTACCTGCTCTTCCAGAACTCCAACTCCACCCAGGGCGTGGGGTTTTCTCCTTGGAAGAGTGGCTGGGAAGACTCCTTGTTGAGGACCGCCTGCACCTGGCGACTCCACTGGATCACTGCAGACTCAATGGCATAGATGACGGACTTATCCATGGAATCCAAGCTGTGAAAGGCACAATAAATCTCCTGAAACATCGGAAATAACAAGGCTAGGTGGCCTGCAAACAAAATGCCAAATTTTTTAAAAACAGATGGGGAATTCCATCTAGTCCAGGCATTCTTACCTTTGTTGGACAATGGATTGATGGGTACTCAATTAGGAGCACACGTCCTCTCCCCAGACAAAACGCTTATTTATGCATGCATGCATACACAATTATTCAAAACAGGGCCCACCAGCACTCCAAAGGCTAGTTTAAGAATTTTAAATTCTGTCAGTACAGAAATACACTGGACAGAAAACATTCGTATGACCACCCAACCCTTGTTTGAATCCCACTAATGTCAGCAGCCTCCCAGCTTGACAAGCAGTGCATTCCTCAGTGATCAGTCCTCCCTGGGAGAAAGTGGGTCTCTACACTCCTCCCTGTGATGTCCTCATTTTAGTCTTAGTTCTGACTTCTGCATCAAGAGGAAATAGGTTACTTCCTCCTCCACAAGGCAAACCATCAGTCATCTGAACACCAAAATTAACTTCACTTTGTCCTCACTTTCCCAGCAAAGAATGGGACTCCCAAGCATTCAACTTCATATATCTTTTTAAGGAGTACTTTAGAAGGCATTAAAAATAAAACTATATATTTTGGTTTGCCTTCTCACTAAGTCTTAAATGAAAATTGTTCATGCCAAGAACTCAAGACCCAAGTGACAAAGAAAGGGAGTATATCATTCACATTTTCATCCCAGAAAACCACCTTCACTTAATTTAATCAAATTCATATTTGCTGAGCATTGATAGTCACAAGTGATTACAGAAGGTATTAAAGGGGGAAGATACTCATCTTCCTGAAATATGACCCATCCTTTTGGGAAATTATCAAGTTTGAACAAAGGGAGATAAACTCAGTAATGATTATATACACATACACTGAATGTTATGTTCGAATATAAAAGGAACAGGAAAATTGTAATTTGTATTTTTATTATGAAAATGCAATATTTTTATTAAACTACAATAAGTTTTCAGGTTAACTGGGAAATTGCTTCAAATTGTGTATGTAGCAAATTACTTCCAATAGCAAAAACTCATTATAAAGTACATTGCCATCTCTTGCATTACTTATTCTTCAGATCAAACCATGGGCCCTAAATACACAACAATGACAGTAATACATTGGGAAACTCTGGCATTAGGGCCATCTGAGCTCATGCAGGAAGGTGCCTTGTTGCCACAAACACATTAGTCTCAGGCACCTGTGGCCAGTTGGCATTTGGGGATTTGCCCATCTTCTTTGATCGAGGTCATCCAACTTGGAAGTTGCCCACTTCAGCTCTCATTATAACCCCCTACCCCCAGATCCCCCTGAAAGGTGCATGTCTAGTAATCGTGGATATCAGCAGCTTGCATTTTGATTCCTGGCCAATCCTCAATCTCAGGTCTCTCTTATGTGGTCGTAGTAGCTACCATTCATTAAGCACTATTCTGTGCTTTGCACTGTCCTAAGAGCTTTAGAGCCGCCATCTCACAAGAACTCTGCATATGAGGCAGGTGCTGAGGTCATCTCCAGTCTACAAATGGGAAAACTGAGGCTGGGAGAGATTGAATGATTGCTTCCAAGTGGTCTGGCCCAGAGGTGGCAGAGCCTGTTCTAAAAGCTAGGATCCAGAGCTTTGTGCTAAGTTCCATGTAACCTTGCCTCATAGCCATTGCCATTTTATGTCAGGCACTCGGGGAAATGACAGACATGGTGGATTCTCTCATGGTTGTCCATCCATCCATCCATCCATGTTGTTGTGTTGAACCAACAAAACATTTT